TTCTATATGTGAGTGCCTCACACCTTTATTTTTAGTTGCATAATATTATACAAAGAATACCATGAAAGCCAAAGAAAATTTTTTTACTTTAAGTCTAATTGAATTGAAAAATGGCAGCATATTGCATGTCTTGTGTGCTTAAGCTATTTAAATTTTACCAAATTGATAACAATTTCAAGTATTTGGATGCAAAGTTTATGATGTAACTGATAAACTATCTACATGTATATAATAGGAATCACTATATCAAACAGATTCCTATCTATTTAGGATTGTTATTTAATAGTTAGGAGTGCAGAAATGCTTGCAAGTGACTTTAGTGTATTGGAATTCTTAATTAATTGCTATGCCAACATATCATGAAATTCTGTCTATCACTATGAGCCTTGGACTTACAATAAAGATCGCTACGAGTCAATCTGTAACTGTTTAATTAAAAATACTGTGTCAGTTATTTTTTTCACTTGACTGAATGCAACATAGGTAAGACCGATAGATATAGGTAAAAAGAGATAGCTATTTCGATTTTTGGAAGAGTTAATCCCTGTGAATTATGTATAGTCATCGAGTATGCTAAAGTAAAGAGAAACTGTCTACGAAATTGCAATATACTGCATCGTTCAAAGAGCGTGTTATGGGGATTATTGGAAACAGATTACAATAGATGAAAGGTCCTCGATAGCTATCGAATTCCACTAAAATAAACAGAGGAAGAGCTGGAGGGTGAGAATTAGAAGCATATAATGTAGCGATATGACCTTGCACCCATAAGTTGACTCTCAGCATGATTTTGGCATTAACTGAGAGATTCAAATACTTGGAGAGACCAAGAGCTGAGTCATCTTTGGATGAAGGCAGGACAATATGTGGCGTATTTTCAGATGTTATATAAGCAACAGCTACCCAGTTGACTGCAAGTAGTCCTCGTTGCTTTGTTTAACTTGCTCGTTTGTTGGATATTGCTCTACTGCCGTTTGGAACTGATCAAGTTCATCTCTGGATAAATAGGCTCGATAAATAGACGCTGCCACGTAGGTCATACATAGCCTTAGTCAGCTCATTTTGACCTATAATACTGAAGAAAAATGTGACCTTTGTTTTGACCCCTAGCTCCAGTTCTACAAAAATGGATCATTTTTGAGAGTTGAAATTTTAATCAGTTCATCCTTGAGAAATGCTGAGTCGTCCTAGAAAATTTCATCAAGATCGGACAACTCATTCTAGAGTTATAATGTTGACAAGGGATGCATGAAGTTAAGTGTTAGTCGTCGCTCAGCTTCGTCTCACTCTGACAATAAACAACTACAAAGATTTAATTGAATGGCAAAGTGCCAAGCATTTGTCTGAATATAAATTACATTTAGGAAAAATAATAATAGTAATCTTAACAGTTGTCATCAAACAATATGGGCAGTCCCAACTTATACAAATGTTTTATCTAATTCTAGTTAATTTCTATTTAATTTCAACAAGTAATTATTTCAAATTCTAATTGTACTTCATAAATATGTAAAACAGTGTGTTTAATAAATTGTATGGATACGCAAACAATCTCGTGCCGGGCGATCAAAGTTTCAAGCCTTAAGGAAGTAGACCCAGTGGATGCGTGAGCTGGCCTGCCATCTCGTTATAAACCACAAAAAACACAAATTTTGAACATTTGCTTGCTAGAGCCTTGAGTCTAGCATGCAAATGATCAAAATTTAAAACTCCCAACAGGGGTCATCAAATCCAATTCTAACTTTTCGTTCGATTGCCCCATGTTGTATTTATTGTTATCGGAATGATTATTACTACATTTCGCCAGCTGAATTTAACTATAGCAAATTACTAATAATTTGAAAACTTGCTACAGTACATACATGTTGAGGCCTTGAAATCTATAAATAAATTTATAAGAGGACTCTGTTAACTACAAGGACCTAAGCGTGATATTGGATGCTTGGAAATTCATGTCTGAGGTCTATTGAACATAATACACCGCGCACTCTTTTTTTAGCCTTTTTGCACACACAACAGCAATGCAGCATATTATAAAAATTTGTTCTTAAAACACCAAATGTGTCTAAATGTGTGTTCTATGTTCCATATGTGGAAGATCATTAAAAAGATCATCAATTAAATAAACCTTTTTGCTGCTATTCAAGGTTGTGCATGTTTGAGCAAATTAAAATAAAATTCTGTAACTATTTTCATTAGAATGTTTCAATACAATGCAGGCAAATGTAGTGAAAATGTAGAGAAACTTTACATCAACATCAACCAATAGTGAAAGGATTTTTTTGATTTGCAGTAACATTTTAACAAAAGTAGAGAATAGATTGTCTCCTTGTCTTTTTAACATTTTGCGTACTTTAAATTTTTATTTCAAAGAAAATCCCAAAACGTGTTTAATAATCAAACAGATTTGAAATTCTAAATTGAATCTGGATAAAGCTTGTTCCTAAAATTTCTGGTTTGTATTTATGAATTTAACTTTATAGTCATTTAATCAATTCATAATAGACCAAATTTGTTTGTTTTTAATAACAATAAATTACTATGGCAAAAAATGTCGGCATTAAAACTTTGAAGTTTTGAAAATAGCATTTCAAAACCTTAAAGATTTGATATCCCTGTAACAGGCCATGTTCACATCTGAAAATTTCAGTCAATTTATTCTTAAATTCATATATCCCAGAGCAACTGCCTTTATCTCTTTAGGTATTTGACCTGTCCAGTTTTAAGAAATTTTAAATATATTTTTTAAATTTAAAATTGTTTTAATGCCAAAAAATTAATTATTTTATAAAGAAAGTAGTTAATATATCTTCTATAATTATAAAGTATATAATAAAATAATAATAATAATAATAACAATTAAAAGTTATATCAAAATCACTTAGAGTAAACTTATATACATTAGCTATATTTCTTCTTGTAAAAGTCTTTGTGTTTATTTCTTTTAATGTCACCATCCTCAATTTCTTTCAATTTGTCTTCTTGGATCATCTTCAATGATAATCTTCGTCCATTATTTTAATATGAAGCAGAACTTTACTATATCTTTTCTATTCCCACATTCCTCATTTTAACCAAAAATATACTCTTTGAAAAATTCTATCTCCACAGTAACCAATTCTTCTTTATTCTTTCCACTGCAAGATTTATGAATTTTACATAAGGTTTAAAAATTTTCAATTATTATATTATATAATATATATATACATATATATTTCAGTATATAAGAATATATTGTGATTTNAAATAATTAAATTATTAATAAATCAATTAATTTAAAAAAAAATTCTTCGTGAAATAGTTTTTTTTTTGTTACAAACATTAATTTTATTACAAATCAGAACGAGTAATTCATTTATTTATAAATTAGTGTTTAGAAGAGTTTAAAGGTCGCTAATTACGGGGAAAAAGTTGTAATTTTACAAAAAAATTACAAGAGAAAATATATAATTTTGATTGGAAATGTAAGAAAGGTGTTTGAGGAGAGATATCAAGCTCATTTTTTCATTGACCACTTAACAACCTTGACCCCCTAACTTTACGATCTTCTCATAAATCTCTGGCATCTTCACACTCGAGATTTATGAGCTTTTAGACAAGAGAAAAAAGCGAAAAATAATAAAAAAGGAATGAAAACATGCTTATACAACTCTAACTCACTTCCCTTAATAACATTTTGAATTAAACTACAATATATAGATATATATAACAATCTTTCCCTAAATTGAAATCATACTGAAAGAAGAATCTCTCAGAGGAAATCAAAATGGCGTTACTGTTATTGAATTTTTCTTGATATCTTCTATAAAAAGAAGAAAAAAATCGTGATACAATAAGTGAAGAAATGAAAACATTGCTTCCAATTTAATCTTTGCCACGGATTTTTATGCATAAGGCTTAATATATTTATAATTAAACTTCAACCCGAGACAAAAATTAATTAGAAAACTCATAATTTACTAGTGGAAAGGGTAAGAGAATTAAAAAAAAAATTAATTAATTAACCGATATAAGTAGAGTAAACTATACACGGTTTTAATCTATTAAAGCAAAGAAAGTGTGTAATAAATTGTCAACAAGCTTGGATAATTACATTATCATTGTACACATTCGATCTTTCCAACATTTTATCAAAAATAATAGCTTAGGCGTCATTTCTATCTTATTATTCTACTTAATGTGGCCATTATTCCAAAACTTAAGTATATTTGCTTAGAAATGCGTATTATTGATGTTAAATTTTCTTATCTCATTCCTTCAAATTACTGAATTGAAAGATAGTCGAGTTTTAATGAAAATATTTTACATAATTAAATTAATTTTATCTTCAAAAAATTCCCACCCCTTTTTTTAATAATAGCAATAATAATAATAATAATAATAATAATAATTTAACAAAATAATAAAAGAAAACAGTAAGATAATAACAATAAACTTGTATAAAAACTGATTAATTTCATTAATGAAATAGATTATTGTTATTATAGAAAAATACAAAAAAGCACGTGTTACGTATTTTAAAATTTGAAATTGAAATTTTTAAATTTTGTAATTAACATAAAAATAATGAAATATAATAATTTTATAACAGGAAAAAAATTATTAAGTAATCTTACTTACAAATGACGCAATTACGAAACAAAAATAAATAAATTAATCGAAAATTTTGCCATTAAAATAACTTTAAAATAGCATAATATATATACTAATTTATAAAAAGAAACAGTGCTTATAAGTATACAGTTAATAACTATAAGAGTTTTATAACTCTTAATGTTAAAAGATGTCTTAAGTAAAAGTAGGTTAATGCAAAACTACGAATAAAAAAAGTTGTTAAAAATGGAAAAAATGCTTTTAAAAACTGCCAAAACGTCCAACACTGGTAAGAGAATCTAAGGAAGTGAAGCTCGAATTTAACACATATCGTATAGCATGGGGATGGAGACTTTCTATATACATATCTATCACTAAAGACAAATCTCCTTAATAAAAGTCCTCACCTCTTTTTTTCTGATGTGTGATTTAAGTGAATATCATGTTAATACGTTATCTAACTACTTCTGATATATCTTAATGGAAGAAATAAAATCGTGAATGCTTTACAATATCACAATCGACCACAAGAAGGCTGCATACTCCTCTTTACTGTGTTGCTGAAGGCAGGTGGATGTAGAATTCTACCCCACCTGCGACTGTTATGTGCGCCTGCGCTCAGGAATCACAAGAAAAGGGTCGTCGATCGAAAGCTATCGATCTTGCAATGGCCTGCTTCCAGGAAAATGGATTTTCAGCTCTCTGCCACCATATACAATATACACGCACTAAATCTGTATAGCGCACGTACGACCGATGATGATTCACAGGTTGTTTTAAGAGATAACTTGATGGCTCCATTTTTTATTATCTATGTTAAAACAATTATCTTCTTCCTTTTGGTTTATCAATTGTTTGCTTTAATGTTGCATCCCGCAGTTCTCTCGCAGATTTCTAATGTATTAGGTTAACATGCGCAATGTCTTTAAATCATTTTAGTCAGCCGATGAGAGTTCCTCTCTTCTTCTTATTTAAATGCATTCTTATGCAATTTACACGATGATGGAGAGATGTAAAGAAAAGATTTATAAAGGGGACACAATAAAATTTTACTTTTTATCATTTTTTTCGGGCTGTTTAACACTTTTATAAGCCTGTCGTGTACTCGAACCACTCACTTAATTAGAAAAATAAATATATTTTGCATCCACTACTGCATTCTGATAGCTTTCTTTTACTGTTTAGACGAATTATGTAAGGTATATATCTCTATATAACATAAAAAATACAAAAAAAATGAGTTATGGCTTATAGCAAAAGCATCTCAATGTTTGTATAAAAAGCATATCGATATTTTAGATGCTGCTTTTCCATTTCTTATGTCAACTTAAGATATATCGAGTTATAAAAAAAATGTAAAGAATAAGTATTATTATTGTAGAAAATGTCAGAAGGATGTGATCTCTTTCTCTTGATTTTTTGAATGCACAGATAACTATTCTGCTGTATCAAGTAATAGCATACATGAATAACTATAACAACTGAAAATAACTGTTATATCAATTGTTTTCTTTTAATAAATTAAAATATTATTAAATTATTTACTTAATTAATTAATTATAATTTGCATGCAATGATATTTTTGTAATTTGTTATAATATAGATCTATGATTTATTATCCCAAATATTAAAAACACATGAGAAATTAAATTCAATTATGATAAGTACTAAAGTTTTAAGAAATTTTAAATATATTTTTTAAATTTAAAATTGTTTTAATGCCAAAAAATTAATTATTTTATAAAGAAAGTAGTTAATATATCTTCTATAATTATAAAGTATATAATAAAATAATAATAATAATAATAACAATTAAAAGTTATATCAAAATCACTTAGAGTAAACTTATATACATTAGCTATATTTCTTCTTGTAAAAGTCTTTGTGTTTATTTCTTTTAATGTCACCATCCTCAATTTCTTTCAATTTGTCTTCTTGGATCATCTTCAATGATAATCTTCGTCCATTATTTTAATATGAAGCAGAACTTTACTATATCTTTTCTATTCCCACATTCCTCATTTTAACCAAAAATATACTCTTTGAAAAATTCTATCTCCACAGTAACCAATTCTTCTTTATTCTTTCCACTGCAAGATTTATGAATTTTACATAAGGTTTAAAAATTTTCAATTATTATATTATATAATATATATATACATATATATTTCAGTATATAAGAATATATTGTGATTT